AAAGAAAGGGGGTCTGCCCCATTTGGGAGTTATGGATATGCTCTTTTTCCTGGTTATTTATGCTAGTAGTTTCCTAGATGTCAAAACTCATCAAATTATACATTTTTAACATATATTTTGTAAATTATTCCTGTTTTTAAGGTTTTCACACTATACATACACGCACACAGTAACATCCTATGCTACACTTCAAATTTACAGCTATATCTTAGTCATATATCAAAAAGCTCAAGTTAAAAAAAAGAAAAGCTGAAATAAAAACATCAAAAAGCTTGGGGCCCTCCCTGGTGGCGCAGCGGGTTAAAGCACAACACTAAGAAGCTAAAGCCACTTCCGCATTGAGTTCGATTCCTGCCTGCCCCAGAGGTGACCACATGGCGTGGCAGACCTCTCCTGACCCTCCCGCTGCTCCCCTCAGCAGTGTACTTCGTAGATCTGCCTCTTCTGCTCCCCACTCTGTCTCTGGTGAAGCCTCTCGCCACCCCTGAGCCTCTGGCCTGTACGCCAGTTCTGTATGCACAAATAAATAAATATTTAAAAAAAAAAAAACATCAAAAAGCTGAAAGAATTCATTACTAGAAAACCTTCACATACGAACTGTTAGAGGAAGTTATCCAAGCAAGAGGAAATGATGCTAGTTATAAAAAAATGATCTTTCCAGGGACACTTAGATTTTTTTCTTATTGATGCTGATTTTAATTTTAATTTTCCAGCCATAATATTAAGTAAGTGAAGCGACATTGAACATACATTTAATCAAAAAGACATCCTCTCTTTAGCTTTTATCATATCAACTAAAAGTCCACCAGACTGAAGATAATTAGAAAATATCACATAAGAAAGTTTTTTGACCATCTTAAGCACATTTTTATTTTTTTACATTTTAGCATTCAATTTTACCATCTATGAACACATGAATTTTTTTTTTTTGAGATTTATTTACTCATACAGAACTAGGGTACAGGCCAGAAATGTGGAGGTGAGAGGATTCACCAGAGACAGAGCGGGGAGCAGAACAGGCAGATCCACGAATTACACTGCTGAGGGGAGCAGCGGGCGGGTCAGGAGAGGTCTGCTATGCCATGTGGTCATCTCCAGGGCAGGCAGGGATCAAACTCATGTGGAAGTGGCTTAAGCTTCTTAGTGCTGTGCTTTAACCCCCTGCGCCACCAGGGAGGCCCCTGAACACATGAAATTTTAAAATGCTAGTCAGGAAGCTGTTTAACGTCCTAAAATTCAGAAGTACTCTATAGATTCCATGAATCTCACCTACAAAAGTTAATAGGACATACAAAAAACATATTCTTCCACTCTCTACATATCACCTCCATTCCCAGCTTTTTCTTTCACAGAATGTGAAAAAAAAAAAAAGTCACATATGCTTACTGGTGCTGTAACAACATGTACATTATAACAACAGATACACTATTTTTGGAGCTCAATTTTGTTCCACCTATCACATTTTACTTTAAGGAATTTACCCTACAGGTAATGCAGTAGAGGTGCCTATAAAATATACCCACAAAGAGATTGTCTGCATGACAATCTTAAAAAGAATCTTAATAAGAAACAAAATAGCCACAAGGTTGGTTTCTAGTAAAAATAATAATAAAAAGGTGATAGAAGAAAACATGGTTAAATATTAACCAGGTAATCAAACCCTGAATATGAAAAATTTATAAATTTGTATTTTAGAGAATATTATATTAGTAATAATATTAGGTTGCAAATATAAATGGTGCATCCTTAAGGAGAAAAATCACAAAATGTGATGAACTAAATAAACCACAATTGTCATTATCTGCGTCAATGGGGGGGGGAATTGTTACAAAATTACTATTTATTCTAAAATGTTTTTAATTCAACTAAACAAACCAATTTTTATACATGCACATCAAAAAAAATGAGTAAAACTGGGTTTGAACACAAGGAAAAAGAACGGGAGCCAAAAATTGGTTTAAAGAAATAAAGTAAGGTCATGATCCTTATCTTTCCTAATATAAAACCACAATTAAAGGCTTAGCTTCAGGACAGTTTTTCCTAAGTCAGAGAAATCAAATTAGTACTGTTTTCTACCCATTCCAGAAAAGACTTTTTCTTTAGAAAAGTCCATCCCAATACCTACATGCCTGAAAATAATAGTGACAAAATTACAAGTGAAAAATAAAAAACTTACTAACAATAACTATTACTAGCTCTTTATGGCTAAATAATAATAAAAAAAAGAATTAACAAGGACATCAGAATTAACCAAGTTAAGATCTTTATGAGTTGTTTAAACTTTTAACTAGATAAGGTAAAGGCTACAGTTTTATGGTCTCTCCCCAGAATATTAGGACACAGTAACTATTTAGAAAACATTATAAACTGTAGACTGTTTTATCAAAGAATTAATTTAATGTACTATGTAACTCTATTATAACATGCTATAATATTAAGGAAAAATAGAATAAACAACAACCATCAACATTTAAATCTCTAATAACTGACATCAAACTACATGATGGAAAGACTTGCTACAGGCTTTTACACAATTCATAAATTCATAAATATTATTCAATTCATAAATATTATTTGAGTACTCCTTTAGGCACTGAAGTCCCATGATGAGAAAAGCATAAGACCTCTGAACTCCGAAGCATGTAATCTGTGTATAAATAAGAAAAAATGTGGATAGATTCTAGAAAAGACTTCTTGGAAGACAGGAAATTTGAGTTAAAAACCAAATGATAAGACACACACAACCATATGACAATATGGCAATAGACTCCCAGGCAAAGACAATACCAAGTTTTAGTGAATTATCTCTAATCAATTACTCTTTATAAAATATATTATTTAGTGATCCCTAACTGCACTGATTGAAAAAAGCCCTGTAAGAGCAAATAAATAGCATGCAGTGGGATTAAAATTAATATTAACTTACTGATGTTAACTATATTCTATACATTGTGCTGTTACATAATCTCATTTTCAGGCTGAAGACACCCTGTGAAACAGTCACATGATTTATAATTCACAATATTTAAACTGACCTTGCCTCAGCATGTGCTAAAAAGTGGTTGAATAAAGATGCCATCTTTCTTTCATAGCATAAAAATTTATATTACCAAGCTAGCATTTCACTTATTAGAATTGAAAAAATGTTAAAGACTCATCATATCTGAGATCTGAAAGAACAAGAGTGATGGGGCACTCTCATTCAATGTTGTAGTGCCATAAATTTAGTTGCACCATAAATTGCTTTAATAGCAAATTGCCACCAGCTACCAAGATTTATGATGTGCACCCTCTACAGATCTGCTCCATAGAGCATCCCATAGGGTAGCACATCATTATATCTAAAAATGCTCATTAAGTGTTGATTACAGTAATGAAAAACTGGAAACAGTCCAAATGTCCATCAATGAAAGATCAATGACCATGAAATACCTATAAAATACCATGCAGTTTTAAAAATGGTAATGATGAAATCCACATACAACAAAATGAAAAATGTCCTACACACATGCTTAGTTGTTTGTACACGATATAATTCTTTTTGTATTAAAAATTGCAAATAATGCATTGACACATACATCTGTACATACATCTGCAAAATATCTGTAAGTATATACACCAAGCTGTTAACAAAGGTTTCTTCCGAACTACTACTGGAGAATGAGAAAAAGAGAACAAACAGAAGAATTTTTCTGAAATGTCCTAACTATCTGTGCTACTTTTCCCAAACAGTGGACACGGATTACCTTAGAGAAACTTTGTAAAATTGTACTCTACAAAATGAAAATGGGTCTGAGTTTACCTATAGCTTGGAGCTGGTTTAATATTTTTCTGTGGCTCTTCATATTTGGCCCCCAATACTCAGCTAAATTTTATAATGTGTTTCTTTAAAATGAAATTCCATTTTCATTATAATTTAAAGCAAACTACGATACAAAACCAGAATATTTAAGATATCTTTTAACTACACCTCGGTGACATTTCATCATATAAAACAAGGTGGTTTGCAGTCTTTGAGGATCTAGTCCTATATTTCTCAAACTTTAATATTCATACAACTCACCTGCAGATCCTGTTAAAATGTAGATTCTGAGTCAGTGCTGTGGTGGGCCTACAAGTGGCTTCTCTAACAACTTCCAAACTATATTCTGAAAAGCCCAGATCTAGCCCCAGTCTATATCTTACCATTTTGCCAATTTCAGATTTAAATATTTGTTGTTCTTCCCCACATGCCATATTTTTTACACCTTTTTGTATGTGTGCCTTTTCATACCTTTCTGTGTGCCTTTTTGTATTTTATTATTTATTGTAGATAGTTTCTCCCTCAATTTCTGCACTTCAATAACTTTTATTTGGTTATGTATGAGCTGTGATCACACATCACAGACGTTTCAAGGCCGATGTAGATGTTACTCCTTTGTATTCTGAGGTCTCTATACATGTACATTCAATTTACCACATTTGTTATTCACATGTCTGTCTCCCTATGATACTGTGAGTCTCAGAATAGAAAATGTCTATCCTTTGCACACAGAAATTCAATAAATGTTTTCTGAGTACAAGTCACTGAATATTAAGTTTCTGCCACCACCTTTGAGATAATGTTTGTCATGGTCACTTTCATTCCACATTTCCTTTATAGTACTCAATGAAAAAATTCAAATTATTGAAGGTAATCTCTTACATTAAAACATAAGGTAATACATATTCAAAACCAAAGTAAAACATAACACTATTCGATGATTATAGTTACCTTAGTGCTGGGAAAGGTCAAATAAAATTCATTATTTTGGAGTAAGGGGGAAAAAATGATTTTACTCTTCAGTACATATAAATTTAATTTAAACACAAATTTACCTGGTAGAGAAAATTAAGAATGGCATCAAATTTCTCATGCCTTTCCGTTTTACGCTAAAACTGTTACTATACTTTAGAAACAAACGACAGAATAGTAGATGAGATCACACATTTACACAGGCAGTCCTATCTCTACTACTCACCTTCCTCATCTATCCATTTCATGGTGAAGAGCTGTTCGTTGTCAAAAGAACACATGTCTCGAACCTCACTGCAAAGGCCCTCAAAGGAGATTGAAGGTTCAAAATGTGTTATCATGATATCCCTAAAAAAGAAAACGAGTTTTAAGTTTGACGTTGGTCAAAATTAACAATATCCTCTATGTTACTGAATACCTCACAATTTGATGAACTCGAGCTACTTTGTGTGCACATCAACAGGAACTGTCTTCTAGTAAACCAGTGATATCTTTGCAAATTTAAGTATATATCAGTATTAAATACTTAAAAAGGATTTGATAGAAACCTTGATCCTCATCCCCCCCTCATTCAAAAATATACCAGAACTGTCCTAACAGATGGTAGCCCACTTCTGCTTTCATGTATCAGAAACTCACTCTTTTGTGATTCACTGGACACCATAAATCAACAGCTCTATTTACTGACAAACTTTCTGCTTTAAGTGAAATCTATTCCAACCAGTAGTCCCAGATCTCTTCTCCCCAAAAAGTGTACATTTGGTTAAGAGATGACTCATCAATAATTTGACAAAGACCTGTCCTCTTCCTTAGCCAACCAGAGGACCATTAAACATTCTTTGTATAACATGATTTTTAGATCTCGTGCTTTCATATTTTTATCTTTTGCTGAAGAAATTCCCTTTTGTGCAAGTTTTAAAATACAACTTATATTTTAAGGATCTAAAACACAAGGGGGCTCTCCATGGTACAACTGGTAAGAGCACCACATTATGAAGCTCTCTGAAGCCACTGCAGCATGAGTTCGATCCCCCACCACGGAGCTGACCCACATGGTCTGGCAGACCTCTCCTGACCTGTCTGCTGCTCCCCTCAGCAGTGTACTTCAGTGGATCTTCCTGTTCTACTCCCCACTCTGTCTTTGGTGAATTCTCTCACCCACCACACCGCTGGCCTGTACCCCTATTCTGTAAGCATAAATAAAATCTTTTAAAAATACACACACAGGCCCTCCTTGGTGGCGCAGCTGGTTAAAGCACTGAACTAAGAAGCTTAAGCCACTTCCGCATGAGTTCGATGCCCGCCTGCCCTGGAGGAGATCCACATGGTGTGGCAGATCTCTCCTTACCCACCCGCTGCTCCCCTCAGCAGTGTATTTCATCGACCTACCTGTTCTGCTCCCCACTCTGTCCCTGGTGAATCCTCTCACCCTCTGCATCTCTGGCCTGTACCCCAGTTCTATATGAATAAATCAATCTTTAAAAAAAATTTAAAACACACACACACACACATAGGAGTGAACGTTAATGTATTTTTAGTTTTGTAATGTTTCACAAGCAACAAGTACTTAAATCAACCTAGAAACTAGTCACTGTAAGACTTAAAGCTACAACAAATTTTTTTTTTAAAGATTATTTATTTATTTGTACATACAGAACTGGGGTACAGGCCAGAGGTGCAGGGGCGGTGAGAGGCTTCACCAGAGACAGAGTGGGAAGCAGAACAGGCAGATCGACGAAGTACACTGCTGAGGGGAGCAGTGGGCGGGTCAGGAGAGGTCTGCCTCGCCATGTGGATCTCTTCCGGGGCAGGCAGGGATTGAACTCATGCAGAATTGGCTTAAGCTTGTTAGTGCAGTGCTTTAACCCGCTGCGCCACCAGGGAGGGCCCTACAACAAAATATTTTTAAAAACTCTTTGCTGTTCCCAGTTCAGACAGGCACCTCTTCTCGTACAATGTCAGTTGCATCTCTGAGACACAACTGTTAAGGTCAGCTTGAATAGATTTGGCTAGATTGAGCACCTGGTCACTAAAAAGGTTTTTAACTCTGGTAAAGTAGATATTGTTGCCATGATTGATGACTTCTTTGAGCTAAACTATACATGGTTTACATGTTCCAGTAAACACTCATTATAAGTGCAATGGCACAGTCAAAGTTAAGAACAGAAATTTGTCACTAATGGAAAGCCTATCTCCTCTCTCAGGAGCAAGATCTCACCAACATCAAATGGAGTGGAGGTATTGCTAAATATATTGTAGAGTCCACAGGTATCTTCACTACCTTGGAAAAAGCTGGGGCTTACTTGAAGGGTGGGGACAAGAGGGTCATCAGATCTGCCCCTTCTGCCAATGCCCATATGTTTATGATGGGCATAAACCATAAGAAGTATGACAATCCCCTCAAGATTGTCAACAAGACTTCTTGTACCATCAACTGCTTGGCCCCTCTAGCAAGGACACCCACAACATCTTTGCAATCATAAAGGCACTCATGTCCACAGTCCAAACCATCACTACTACCCAAAACACCATGGACCATTCTTTTGGAAAGCAGTGGGTAATGGTCAAAAGGCTACCCAGAATATCTGCCACAACAGGTTAAAGCACAGCAGTATGAAGCTGTCTGCATTATAAGTTTGATCCCTAGCCAGGGAGATGACCCATAATGACATGGCAGACCTCCGTTTCCCCACTGCTCCCCTCAGCAGTGTATTTCAGTCAATCTGAGGTTCGGCTCACCACTCTAGCCTCTGGTGTATCCTCTCACACTCCCCACCCCCACCCCTGTACCTCAGTTCTTGTATGCACAAAAAAAAAAAAAAAAGAGGCTACCTAAAATTATCACCCCTACTTCTGCTGGCACTAACCCTAAGACTGAGGGTTAATATCACCATGAAGAACAGAAAAGTCACTGGCAAGGTCCTCGTGTCCTCATCCCCAACTTGTCAATTTTGGACCTGACCTGCCAAGTGGAAAAAGTTGCCGATATGATGACACCAAGAAGGTGATGAAACAGGCATTACAGGGACCATCAAATACATTCTGGGACATAATGAAAACCAGGTTGTCTCCTTTGTATTAAAAGTGACATGCAGGCCCTCCCTGGTGGTGCAACAGGTTAAAGCATAGCACTATGAAGCTACTGCAGCCACTGCAGCACAAGTTTGATCCCTGGCCAAGGAGGTGACCCACATGGTGTGGCAGACCTCTCCTGACCCACCCGCTACTACCATCAGCAGTGTATTTCAGTAGATCTGCCTGTTTGGCTCCCCACTTTTCCTCTGGTGAATCCTCTCACCCCTCCCCACACCTCTGGCCTGTACCCCAGTTAATAAATGGGGGGGAGGGGAGAGTGAACCATTCCTCCATCTTCAATGCCAAGCCTGGCATTGCCCTCAACTACCACTCTTGTCAAGTTCATTTCCTGGAATGACAATGAATTTGCCTACAGCAACATAGTGGCGGACCATATGATCCGGATGGCCTACAAGAGCCATCTGGAACACCAGACCCTACAACAACACAAGTGAAAGAGGGAAGCCCTTAGCTGCTGGGGAGTATTTCCCCCATTGGTCCAACACACTGAGAATCTCCTAAACTCGATCACAGTTGCATCCCTGACACCCTACAGAATGGGGAGCCCTACCTTGTCATTACCTTTAGTAAAGAATAGTTTCAGTGAAGCACCCTGAGAAAGAAGATTCAAATAAACTCAGAAATGAAAGTGATATTGCAATTAGTATCACAGAAATACAAAGGATCAAAAGAGTCTATTATAAACAAAATTTACCTAGAAGACCTAGAATAGATACATTCTTAGAAACAAAGCTACCACTACTGAATCACAAATAGAAAACCTGGACTAATGCAAGTAAGGAAATAGAATCAGTAATCAAAAGCCTCCCAATGAACAGAAGTCCAGGACCAGAAGACTTCACTAGTAAATTCCATCAAACATTTGAAGAAGAAAAATATCCTTCCCACTCTTCCAAAACACAAAAGAGAACAGAACACTTCCAAATGCAGTTTATGAGTCAAGCATTACCATGATATCAAAACCAGACAAGGATGCCACAAGAAAAGACAATTACACACCAACCTCCCTGAGGAAAAGCTTATAAAATTCATGTCCTTCCTCTGTTTCAAACTCTTCAAATGCTTTTTGCTCTCTGATGTAGAGTAAAATCCCTAGCAGAGTCTGTAAGATCTTGTGTGAACTGGTCCAAGGTTTCCTGCAGACCTAATTCTTCTACCACAAGATGGCCTATACTTTACCAATGTTTATAGTCCACTACCTACTCTAGTTAGAATGCAAGTGGGGATTTTGTTTTATTATATTCCTAGTTGCCAACATAGTGCCCAGCACAGAATGGGTACTCAAATATTTGTTGAGAAAAGAGAGGAAGGAAAAGACACTGTGTTAGGAATTGTGAAGAAACGGGTTAACTGGAACACAGGTCCTAAAAAAGTAGGAGTTAAATTCTTTAGTCATCTGGAAAAAAAAAAAAAAAGAGTTAAAACTATAGTCTTTATGGGCTACAAAACATAAGCAGAGGGCCAAGCAGAAACACAGAATGGTCTTTTGGGTTTGTGGTCTTTTCTAAGCATCCCATGGTTTATGACCCCACTTCATGCCTTGTTTTTGATAACAGTATGTGCCTGGCATTTTCCCTCATGCTCTCAACATTTAAGTCTTCGGCCTTCAATCAGGAGACATTCTTTTTTGTTGTTTTTAACATCCTTGTTTATTTTTTCACAATATATGATTTTTCCCTTTGGGTGCAGTCAACATAGTTTAACTTACTCACTACCAATGTGCCCTCAGGCCTCTACCACACTCCACCACAATTTCTATCCCAGTCTTCACATCCTTTCTCTGTGTCATTCTTTCTCTCTAAGTCTTAATTCACATTCAGTGTTTTTAACTATTATTACGTAAGGACCTACAAAATTTAATTACAGCTCCTGTTATATATTTAAGACTTGGTAATCTGGTTCTAATTTCTATTCTAAATTTGATCCCACCATTCCCAACACAAATATTCTACTAGAGAAAACTGGTTTATTCACAACACCCACATATTCATAAAACTTGGTTACTCAAGTTTTAATTCTGCCATTCTCTCAATTTAAAGCTCAGTTTGTAGGGGGAAATGGGGCATCATCTTTAAAGGGCAATTCAATGTCACCTTCCATTAAACCTTTTTCAACCACACAAGGAAAATGGCCTATACTTCTAAACTTATCCATCATGGAGTCATATTTCATCTTTTGCTATTTATTTCATCATATTTTAATAACATATCCTCAACTAAATTTTAACTGGAAAACAGAAATTCTAGGGCTTT